AAATCAGGCTAGTCCATGGCAAAGGAATGTACTTGAATCCTGAAACAGCTTCCTAGGCGCCCGTGATATTGTAAGGATGAGACTTAATTTTTCATCTTATTAGCATCTCCACCTGAGGTCTGGTTCGGAATCATAAGCCACCTCACTCCCAAGCCACACGCTTAAAGACACATCATCAGAGTAATCAACACACAATTAACAGAACTAATGCAATGCATCAATTACCGTCAGTGCTGTCTCCGCTCGGGTTTCTAGTTGGTAGACTCATGGTTATTTATAACCCATATCAAAGCATTCAGTGCATGACTTCCATTTGCCAAAAGCAAAGGAATACCTGATTTGAAAGTTTCATGTTGATAATGTAATTTCAACTGCTGAGATAAAATAATTGTAATGGAATAAAAATCATTCTAATTTCAAGTAAAAGAAAGAGAAGTGTCCGAAATTATGTCCCGTGAGAATCGTTTCAGGCATGTCTTGTTTGTTTATTCATGATGAGTACATGGTTTTTCGTGTTCTACTAGCTACAGCCTTGCGAGGATGTGTGTTCTGGCAGGGGAAAGCGTGCCTCGTTAGTTTAAGATGCCGTCACAGCGTACACCAGCACGGGAGCCATCTGTTAGACATTAACCAGTTTAGCTGCGGCTAAATCTGAACCCCAGGCGACTGAATAGTAGGCTGGAGTGGTATGATTTTAAAATCTTTATTCTAAGTATAAAATGACTAAAAATTTCACTTGGATATTAATAACTCCCATCTCTAGAATCACATAAAAGAGAGAAATGTGATAATTACAGTTTTTATATAAAAATAAAACCATGTAAAAATTTTAAATTTAAGGTAACTGACAGCAACAATATTTTAGCTATTAATTACTTAAATGTCAAAAGTAGTGGCAGCATCTGCTCTAGAACATGCCACATACAAAGCCACAGGCCACAAAAGACAGGGCTCTATCAACAGCCTATAAATTATTTAGGCTAATACACCACCTTCTTAGGTACTAAATAAACTTCCATCAGAGGTTAATATGACATTGGAATTTGGGGTTTTATTAATACTCACCTTAAATATCATCATAGTATCAAGGATACCAAAGTAGTCACACAGAGTGCCAATTCAGCATCCTTCCTAACACTGCCCAGACCGGTAACCAAAGATGGGAAACTGTTGACAGTCAAGGTAAGGTTTGGTTCTTCTTGCCCAGGACAGAACAGTGTTTGCAGTATGGGCTCATGTCCCATCTTGGAGACTCTTAAAAGAAATGCAGAGGACTAGGCCTCCACATAGCTTCACGTATGTGCTGTGTGTGGACACATGTGTGCAGGTGCTAACTGCAATAGTAACCTCAGAGTCCCAAAGGGCACCGGTTGGTCAGTATGTCAGACATAGTTCACATATAGATGAACATGAAGGGATGATGTATAGTGTGACTAAATATGAGATGTAATTCTTTCCAAGATGCCGTTTTCTCCAAATGCATGAAAAGATATTCAATGAGGGTGTTGGGAACTCCTTAGACGTTACACTCTACCTTGAGGAATTCCTCACTCTCTTCCCAGATGAGTCAGATCACTTATATAGAAAATAAAAGCAAAACCCAGCTCCAAACGTCACTTTAAAACGGATCATTATGAATTTAGCCACAAGGTCAACTTCAGAAAACAATTTTCAGTGCTGGGGAGATGAGAGTGAGCTCCATGAGTGAGACATCGCCTCTTCAAGCGTGGGAGCCTAAGTGTGAGCCCAGCACACACGTACAAAGCTGGGTCACCCCTTACATTGGTTATCCTCGTGCTGGGGAGAGGAGAGAGGCTGAGACCCTGTCTTAGAAAACAAGGTGGATGATTTCTGAGGAGCAATACCAGAGGCTTACAGACCTCTGCGCACTTGTGAAAACATGTGCAACACATAACACAATGCATATATACACTCAGCAGACATATGCACACAAGCATACACACATAAATACAGATAGACATGATCACACACACATACACACTCAGAAGACATACACACATACAGACATATTCACACACATTGATGCCTCTCAGCTGCGCATAACAAAATGTTATACATTTGAAATGGAAATGGTAAGAAAGCAATATAATTGCACTGAAAACATTAAGAACACTAATTACTTTCTAATCTGAGCAGTCAAGGGGTCACCTCCATCCCGGAGCCCCTTTCTCCCCCCTTCTCCTATCAGATGTCCCTGACTACAAACCAACTACAGAGACAAATGAGGCTGTCAGACCTCCGAAAAGAAAACAATGAGTCCCAACTTTCTCCTGTGTGTTAGTCTAGTGACCTTTTAACCTGCCCTGGAGACCTCGGCAGAGCTCAACACTCCATTGCCTACAAGTTGCCTCAAGGGATTGAATATATGTACAAGTTGGCCCTTCTAATTCAAAAATCCAGTTGTGGATTTCCGTGTAAAGTCCATGCAAGTATCACACACACACACACACACACACACACACACA